GGTGCCCTCCGCGCCCGCGCGTCTTCCTTCTTCCCCTCCGCCCGGTTAAGGACTCTCGCCCCGTCCGTAACGAGTGTCTGCTCTTCACACGGTGGCGGGTTAGCGCGCCGAGGCGCGGTGGGGTCTCCGTCGCCCCTCCCGCAGTCGAGGAGATCTGTTGAACTTCGGGGAGAAGCCAGACGCCATCCGTTCCGGAAATGGGTTCGTCTGGCCCAACTGCAGCTCACGGCTGCGGAGTCTCTGAACCCATCGCGCCGGGTGGAGCGGCCCCCGTGAGTTCCAGGAAACCACCCTTGCCTTTCGCCCGCGGAGCGGCTGGGAGCAGCCCAACTCCTGAGCACTGCCGCCACCAGTTGCCGTTTGTCTCACAGACCCTTGTTAAAAATGAACTTTTTCGGGGTGCACGCGGTTTAAACCTTAAGGAGCTCCTTTTGCCCTCTCCTGCCGTAGGGCTTGCTCGCAGGCTGCGGGGCGCGGGTGGGCGGGGCGGGGGAGGCGGACATGGGCGGAAACCCGGACTGCACAGTGGAGCCAAAGATCAGGGTTTCGTTTATGTGTAGGGTTCCACGAAATGCGGGGGAGAGGAGCAAATTTCTCATCACTGATGAGCTTTATATCTGTAATGGTGTATTTTTAGAAGAAATGGCTATAAATAGAAGCAGAATTTTAAAGGAACGCCAATGCAAACAAACCCTATTGTGAATTTTCTTTATAAAGAAATTATCCAGTTCACAACTGAGCGCCATTATTTTGACCTATTTCGAGAGCTTTTAAGTAGCCCTAAGTTGCTTGGCCACTAACTTAAAAGTCCCCATCAGTTGCGGCCCTGGAGAAAGTTTAAAGGATTTACAGCCTCGAAAAACTCTGTACTATAGGGGTTCCAAGAGTGGGACTGACTGCGTGGCAGCGTTTGAATGTTTTTGGGGTTTAGGGGTCTTTTTGCTTTGCGGTGTTAAAACAGCTGTTCTATTAAGTAAATATTGAATTGAAAATTGGCCCTAAAAGGCCAAATGACATCTCGATCTTGCTTTAGGGGAAATCTTAAATTTCAAACCAAAATAAAGTTCTTCAGGGACATCTTGGGAACGACAGAAAAATATTGCAAAGGAGTGATATATTGTGTTAATTATCTGACACGCTGAGGTTATGACAACTCGATGTATTGTATTTCTGGGAACAGTCGTGGCATTTTTTTGTTTTTCTTTCAAATTAAGCAGCCAGATGTCTCAAAAACAAGTCACTAGTGAGAGTTGAGTCTTCTGACGCACTCTCCACCCCACCCCCATTACTTTGGTCCTTCAGCTAGTATTTACTGAAGACACCAAAATAATTCCCGGTGTATTGTTATTTATTGACGCAACCTAGATGCAAAATGGACCTTGGATTTTGATACAGAATGGACCTTGGATTTTATTCATCCTGACAAGTGATCTGCAGGCAGACTAGCACTGAGGTAGAAGCTAGAAGTGAGGAAAATCAATACCTAAATTTACCGCTCCAGCAACCAAGATGAAAGGAATGCTGAATATGAGGTAGACACGGTTTATGCATTATTTTCACCTTTCATAATGTTGAAAGAGGCTAAAAGAAAGCATTAAATACTTTTCAGCACCTATTGGCCTAAGCCTATAAACTACACTATTATGGAAATTTTTGAGAGAATTATTTCAGATGTGTGCTTTGCTTGCTGTGTTAAATTTATAAGGTGAGTCAACAACTACTCCTGCTATACAGGAGCTTATGTGGGGGAGTACTTGGACAGGAGCTGAAGGGGTGGTCACCATACATTCCAGGCCCAACTCCTGACCGTGGCTATTTATTAATGTCTTTTTACTTCTTCAGAGTCATTTAACTAGAAATGTCAGGCTGCCTCAGAAAAGGTTCCCACACTCTGCTGAATATAGAATTTAAAAGTCCCCAATTCTCTGCTACATAGAAATTGATTAGTGATATTTACTTGTGAATAAGCAGAGGCAGCTTAATGTGCTCCTTGTTGCATTTTACCATATAAAACAACTATTAAAAAAGTTACTGAACACAGGAGCTCCTTAGAAGTAAGGATGACAAGACATTCCCTCCTTTGGACAGACTATCAGGAGGAACCA